TTTATACTTTGTTAGGAAAATGGGAAATAGATGTAACGATTTATTGAAACATGCAAACGTACATGGAAGTGCAGTTTTCAGTTCTAGCAGGCTGGTATGACCACCATCATTCTTATTCAACACATTCTGAACTCTGTGAGCAGCTTTCTTGTCATTTCTTTAAATATTCTTCAGGAATAGTTCTCCAGGCTTCTTTAAGGACACTCAAAGCTTTTCTTTGGATGTTTCTGCATTTTGTTGCATTCTCTGTTAAGATGATCCCACACTGCTTCAATAATGTTGAGGTCCAGGCTCTGATGAAGCTAATCCATGACTGGTAGTGCTCCACTGTGTTTTGCTCATGTATGCTTTTACTGCACTGGCAGTGTGTTTGGGATAAGTGCATCAAGGGACAGGTGCATGCATCAAGATGTGTTTGGGATAATTTAATGCTTAAATACGAAGCCATTGCCAATCAGATGCTTTCCAGATGATATTGCATTGTAACATTTTGCACTTCATTATGTTCATAACTTATTCCGTTTTGACATGATCCCTAACAGCACTCGCTGCTGTACCTCTTTCTCGACCTCCTCTGTACATATTGATGACAGTTTGAATCACGACGCTTCCTCAAACAGTAGATGGATCAGCTGCAGGTCTTTTCTGGATTTTTCCCCACAGTTTCTTAGGAACCTGACTTTCAGATATCTAGAGCAGATCATCTACTGTAGATATTATTTAGGCATGCCACTCAGCAAAAGAAAAGATATTGGTCAGGTAAAAGGACTGGACTGAAAAAGTAAAAAAAAATAGGCCGTGTCCTAAGAAAAAGTATGAAAACCCTTCTGAAAGGTGGAGAACTATTGCTCAAGCTTTAAAAATTGAGGCGTAGATTGAGACTTTAGTATTTTACTGTAGTGAAATGCACCTTGAAAACATGGACATATACTCAACCAAATATAAAATAGTATCAAATAACAATTAGATGAAGATATAAGTGTTTACAGCTTAAAACGCAGAAATAAAAAACATGTACATTGTTTAACACCAGCATCTTTTTTCTCCTGCAGGTGATGCCTAGACTTCGGATCGGGATTGGCCGGCCGACAGGGAAAACGTCTGTGGACCGTCATGTTCTGGGCAGATTCACCACAGAGGAACAGAAACTCCTGGATTCTGTTTTGGTCCAGAGTGTGGACCTCCTCCTTTCCCAGCTTTCCCAGCAGGACTCACAACAGGACTCCCCGCTCCCCTCCTCACCAGCAGGGGGCAGACAAGCTGCACAGAAGAGGAACGAGAGGGCCCGCTCAGGCTCACCAGCTGAGGACTCTGCAGCAGCTCAGAGCTGAAGCTGAAACCTGAACTCTGTTATCACACATAGAACCCGCCTCAAAGAGAAAACATGAACCACTTTATCTGTATTTATTCACTTAATGGTGATGTTGTTACATGAAAAGTCTCAGAGAACAAGAGGAGAACCGAGAAATCTTGTTGTCTTCAGGTTTGTTCCCTACACGATGAACCACTTTTCTTTATTCACTTCGCTGAAAAGCTGGCAGTGAAGCCAGAAGCTTGGCTCAGTCTGTGGCAGAGGACAGTCTGATGTCTGTGAGATATAAAAATAAATCGTTATTAAACAAAATAAATTTGATTATCTGATTTTCATGCACATTAAGAGCAGTTGAGCATTTATTTACATTAAAAACATTTAAAATCTGCAAACTATAGACTCTCTGACACCAGTACTACTATACTAATACTAATAATACCTGCCCTGACCGACTAATTCTAATAAACTCACTGACCATGAGCTTCACCGTGCTCATACAGGTCAGAGCTGCCTTAATTCTACCTGGCACAGATTTAACAAGCTGCTGGAAACAGTCCTCAGAGATTTTGGTCCATGTTGACACGATAGCATCACACAGATGCTGCAGATTTGTTGACTGCACATCCATGATGTGAATCTCAAAGGTGCTCTATTGGATTGAGATCTGTTGAAGCTGTTAAAGTACAGTAAAGCCATGATATGTTCAAGGAGTTTGAGACGATTTGAGCTTCATGGTGTGTTTTCCTGCTGGAAGAGGCCCCTCTGATCATAAAGTGATGGACGTGGTCAACAACAATAGGTGGGCTGTGGCATTAAAGTAATCCTCAGCTGGTAATAAGGGGCCCAAAGTGTGCCAAAAAATATTTATAATATGAATATGTCCTCACAAAGATAGCCAAACTAACATGCGTGTATCTGTATGAGTCCTACACACAGAGTGGAGCAGGCAGCCATTATAACCACCACCCTAATCCTACTGCACTCACTCTGATCCACAGCAGTTCATTCATAGTTGCACGGACACACTGACATATCTAAAAATATTCAATTTACCTCCCACAAGTGAGGCATACAATATATGAAATACTCTTCTTAATATGTGATGGGATGCTAACCACGGTTTATTATATTTTGCACTCTGCATTTGCACTTTCTTCTTGCAGTCGGTCAAAGGTCAAAGTCTCTGAGCCTTCAGTCGTGTGTTATTGATTTTTTTGTTCTTTATTTGATGATCATGTTAAGTTAGAGGCTTCCTGGATGTTTTTTATTTGTGAGCAATGTCAGTACAAGGAGCTGAACCGCTCTAAAACAAAGACTTGTTTAAGCTCATCTTCTCTTTTTTTGTATCTGAGAGTGACTCTGCCCCCGACATACGGTTCTCCTCTCCAGCTCGTCCTCCCCGTTGTGGCTCTTTTGGCCAAAAACATATTGATTTCCTCTTCCGATTGTCCCACTAATTGCGCCTCTTCATCAATTATGTGTCTTTAATGAGTTGCATCCCGTCAAGAGGTGCGCTGCATTCTCACACTGCTGAGAATGCCAGAGGAAGGTTAGCGGAGGAATGGAGGGTTCGGCGGGGGAGGTGGCGTACAAAAAAAGGGCAGAAAACAGCGGAAAGAGGCTGACGAGCCGCTGAATGAGGGAAATCAATACAAAGGAGGCCAGTAGATTGCGATGGAGGGCAGAAGAAGAAAGGCAGGCGAGAAACAAAAGGGGGCAAACATTGTTTAGACCCAGATTTTTGAGGCCTTCTGTCCTGCTGTAGCTCAGACGTACAATAGCTGTAGGGACACACTTGTGGACATGAGGGAGAGAAAGGGGGGAGCTCAAAGGAAACTTCTATGACACCCCCCACCACACACACACGAACACCCTTCGCCCTCCTAAAACCCCCCCATCTTTCTCTGCTGTGACCCCGTTGAGCCACCTTTTGCCTCCATCAGGCCACTTTCCCAGCCCTTCCTCTCTGGTCAGCTTTATGAGGCCTTACCAGCAGCTTCAGTAACTTTTCTTCTGTGGGGGTCAAAGGTCAAAAGCAGGCTGAACACCCAACCTTTAGAGAAAAAAACTAAATTTATTCAAGAACAGCCCTCAAACCCTCCCCCTGCGCTCTATTCCCTGGAATAGCAGCCCAGTGGGGGGTCTTCCCTCTGAAGTAGCACAAAACGAGCCCTCGGACTCCGCTGGCAGTGGGAATTTAGATAATTTAGCTTATTAAGCAGAGCTATGTTAATGGTATGTATATATTTTATCAATGATACTTTATATTTGGCCCTTTAGAACATCATTTTCCACACTTGAATAAAAGTTGGTCCTCACTTGGTGAACCCTACTCCAGACTTTTCCCAAAGCTTGACCAAAGACTTATATTTCTGAGTGAAATGTCTCAACTTTAATGGATTATTTCGCACATTTCTAGCTCCATGTTTTTATACTTTGATTCTACCAGGGCAGCTCAGGGCAATTCAGAGTTCAAAATAATCCTTATTCGTCTTACATTGGGACGGGCTGCAGCCCCTCAGTTTATCCCTAATGTGAAATAAGCTGTTGGGGTTCCTCTTTCTTTAAGGTGATCCTGCCTTTAAACTAGCTTCCTTC